ATCACTTTTGGCAGCAGCAGTCAAGATATCAAAAGACTTGATGCATTGGGAAAAACTGATGTCAAGGACCTATTCAAAGTTCCAAAGAGCAAGGATATCAGTTTAAGGACTAAGGCCTGAGACAAGCCTTGGTATTTTCAGTTGCTTCATATTCATCTGAAATCTGAGCAAAAAATAAGAAAGATCAAAGAAGAATCAATATCTTTGCAGATAGATCACCTAAAGAACAAACATACTTGTAAAAAGTAGACATAAATCTTCAATTTCTTCATCAGTATCTTTAATGGCTGATGTGTATATTTGAGTCATAGCTGCATTACCAGGTTTTCCTTGTATGCATCTATATTACTCTCCTATTAGCAATATTTTCACTTCAGTATGTTGTTGTTATGTACCCTTGAGTTAGAACCAACTCATAGCTGACTCTCCAGCAGGTTTTCAGAGGCAGTAAATCAAACAGGAGGAGACTGCTCATCTTTCTCCCATGGAACAGCTGATGGTTTTGAACCATGTGCCTTTGGGTTGGAAGTACAACTTCTTACCACCTGTTGTTGTTAGGTGTCATCAAGTTGAGTACAACACACAGTGACCCTATGAAAACAGATCAGAACCCTGTCCTATCCTGTGCCATCCCCATCATCTCTAATATAACTTAAACCCATTGATGTTAGGCTACCAGATTTTTTCCCCCATTAATTTCAATGAAAATTTACAGAGACTTTGGATTTCCATTCATTCATTATTGCATTTTTCTCTCAGTCCACCCCTTCCCGCCCAGTACACTCTTCTCTGAAAAGTAAAAGAAAAGTTCCCCCATTGTTTTACAATTCCTCCCGCTAGGTCCACTCCACTATGCAGTCTTCATTAAGCCACCAGATTTTGAAATGTTCTTTATTGACAGTTAATGCTCTCTTCAATTTGTCATTACCAGCATAGTAGATCATATGACCGTCTGATGGGAAATGATCAATACAAGTCTCTTGCAGCTTATTAGTGCCTGTTGTTGTCAGGTGCCGTGCTTTTGATTATGATTCCTAATGACTCTGTAAACAACAGACCAGAATGCTGTCCTATCCCACACCGTCCTCAAGATCTCTGCCATGCTTGAGTCCACTGCTGCAGTCACTGCGTCACCCTCTCTTGTTAGGGTCTTCCCCTCTTTAGCTGAACCTCCTCTCTGTCTTTCCCAACACGATTTTAGTATGTTCTTCTATATCTGTCAACTTAAAATTTCTCTAGGTTCATACTGCATACACGCTACATGCCAGTTATTAACACGTTGCTGCACACTTTTAAATTGACAACCGTGCTTTAGAAACACATTTTGCCGTCATTTGTGGCAACGTGTTAATGGATGTTTGCAATGGTTGCTCTTAGTTTTGGTACTACTCACGCCAACAAGTGAAGGTCCTTTAGGGAATGAAAGCGTTATTCCACCTACATCATTAAGGCAGACTCGACTTAGGAGGCACCTCTTCCCCAGTCAGATTCTAAGTGCGTTCCAACCTGAGGCGTTCAAGCACTAACTAGCACTATATTAAAAAATGTTACGATGCTATTCATGGGGATTTTTCACAGACCTGCTATTTCAGAAGTGGATGGCCAGTCTTGCTGCTTCATGTTGTTGTTATATTGTTGTTAGGTGTTGCTGAATTGAGTATGACCCATACTGATGCTATGAACAATAGATCTGAACCCTGTCGTATCCCGGGCGACTTCCTGACACACGCGAGCCCAATGTGGCCGTCACTGTGTCAGTCCACCTGGTGGAGGGTCCTCTTCTCTTATGTCTGCCCTCCACGATTCCAAGCATGATGTCCCTCTCCAAGGAATAGCCTCTCCTAGCAACATGCCTAAAGTATGCGAGACGAAGCTTTATCATCTTTGCCTCCAAGGACCACTCTGGCTGCACCTTCTCCAAGGCATTTGTTTGTTCTTTTGGCCATCCATGGGATGTTCAGCACTGCTCAATATTAGAGGAAAATAAATCCTAGCAGTGTGTGCTCGGTGTCAGCTGTTAGACCACAGTCATTGACGCACAAGAGGATTAAATGCTGCCCAGTCAGTCCTGCATCAGCCTCATGATGGGCATCAGACTCTGCGACTCTTAGGGTGTCCGCTGGCTGGTTTCCAGAAGGAGGTTGCCATGCGTTTCTTCTAGTTTGTCTTAATCTGGAAGCTTAGTTGAAGCCTGTTCAGCATGATAGCAGTATGCAAGCGTCTACTGACCAGAGCTCTGGTGGCTTAGTGGTAGGGAGTTTCTCTGCCAACCCAAAGGCAGGTAGTTCGAATCTGCTAGCTGCTCCTTAGGAAAAAGATGAGCAAGATGTGTGATTTACAGCCTCTGGAAACCTGCTGGAGGGTCAGCCCTGAGTAGGTTCCAACTCGATGGCACGCACTGACAGCATTGACAGATGGCTTGCAACTTTGCTGAAGGTACATTATCCAGGAACTGAAAGCCCAGTCACTCCCAGTGAAGGAGGGGATTATGCAGAGGGTAGTTAAAAGCAGTAGGGTGGATGAGATTCCTGCCTCTCCTCCCAGAAGGTGGAGAAAGAGAAGAGCAGAGGCTGGAAAAAACAAAGTGTTAGGAAGAGAAACAAATAAGGGAGGAACGGACACAGTGGAACTCTTCAGCCATGAAGCCACAGACACAAACTAGGGGGAAAAACAATCACCCCAACTTGCTAACTTTTCTGTTGAACCTAAAATAGGTTTCTACTAAATCATAAAGAAGTGACGCGAAACGAAACTACTATTAACGAAGATGAAATGATGAGAACCGCACATTACATAAAAAGAAAATGAAACAAGACTCAAGAAAAGGCATTATTGACAGATCCTTGCTTCGCTAATTAGAGGTCTGGCTTTCCAGATCTCCTCATTTGGTACATGCTGCTGCAAATTAATAGATTTCTCAACAAAAGGACATTTAAATCAACACATGACACCTGCTTAAATTCTCAAGAAGCCATTAATTACACATTCTTAAGAAAGCGAGCTATGACACAACTCTCCTAACTGTATAATTCCTACCCGGGCTTCTTAATCATACGCATCCTCAGCTGCAAGACGGAGCCTTTCGATTCATCTTCCCGGGTCTGACCAATTAAACATTTTCTTTCATAATCATAACATTTCATATGCCAACTCTTCAAAAGAAAAGAAGCTTGTTAGCAGCCTCCCAGTTCCCGTTGCTAATTTGCACTGAACGGAGTGTCTTTAAAAGTATAATATAAGTAGGATATCATTAACACATGCAGGCTTCAGAGCAAGACAACAGTCATGTTAGTTACTTCGTGGCTTGATGTTTCCATGCCTATCTTTTCAGAATCATGATTTAAAAAAAAAAAAAAGAAGTCTTATCAATTAGGAAATTACTATACAACTGAGGTCAAATTTTGCACATATCTTACACACATCCCAACCCCAGAAAGCCAATCCGACAATCACCACAACTCTGACTCATTTTAACTGTGTAAAACAGAGGAGAACCTGCCCAACAGGTCTGTAAAACTTCACAGGAGCTGACGGCTTCATTTTTGTTTTGAAGAGGGACTGCCAGGGGTCAAACCAACAACCTTTTGGCTCACAGTCAAATGCCTTAACCACAGAATACAAATGGCAGGGATGACTAAGTTTATTCAGAAAGCACTCTTGCTTTCTAAAGAAACTGCTCACTCATTCCCATTGTTGTTGTACTTGATTCATAGCTGACCCTTCATTGGGTTTCCAGAAGAACTGCCCACGTTTCTCCGTTAGAACCACTCGCAGATTCAAACCACTGGAGAGGCTCACGTTTTCAGTCAGCAGTGCCAACTCTCCACAGACTACGTCACTGGAGCTCCCTTAAAAGAATTACAGGCCAATACAGGCAGCCTTTTGGTGTTTTACAGCTTGACTCCCATTTAATGTTGACTGACAGCATCCATGTTTGAGTCATCGATTTCACGACTCTACAGTGCTATTTCATGACTGTACAGTATTATTTCATTGTAGCTTTCTTTTCCAGACACCATCCATCCTCAACCATCAAAGAACACATTTTCTGCACTGTTGGATTCTAAGTGCCAGGCAGGAGCAGAGCAGGGTGACAGTGGCTGGCTCCTAGTCTAAGACTCCACAGCCCTGACTCAGCCAAGCCTATGCCACGCTTGCTTCACCAAACATAAATGGGCACAGTGACGAATTTAAGGTCACATCAACCACCCTCCGGTATGTACACACTGTCTACTGTTGTAAAATCCAGCCAACCCACTCATTTACATATTGTCTATGCAGAACTCTGGGGCCTGAGAGGACAGAGAATTGTACCACAAACTTAAAGGTGGATGGTTCAAATTCAACAGCTGCTCAGTGGGGGAAAAGATGGGCAGTCTCCTCCTGTGCAATTTACAGCCTCTGAAAACCTGCTGGAGAGTCAGCTATGCATTGGTTCTGACTCGACAGAAATGAGTTTGCGTTTTTATGCAAAGCTGAGCAGTGGTAGCGGAGACACTATTAGCCCTTAAAGCCTAAAATATTTACTGTCTGGAATTTTCCCCAGAGAATAAAGTTACTGACCCTTGGTATAGAAAAGAATACTTCTTCTCAGCTACTTCAACTGTTAGGATCATCAAACACAGGTAGTACTCGAATTACAACATATGCAAGTTACGACCAATTTGTCTAAGACAAGAACTGTCAAAAGACGTAACAACAATCAACCTTAGTGCCACAACATGCTACAGACCACACCATTGGCGGTTCCACCCTTGGTATACCAGAACTCCTGACCACACACACAGCTTTTCACATACAGATATTGAACTGTGCCTGGGTTCAGCCCAAGAGCACAGTCAGGCAATACAAGCTGGAGACAGAAAACAAGCCTTTCTCTCCATTCAATTACACATATCCCCTGAAGGCTGAGGAGAAAACCAGCCACAGGTGCAGACACTTGACAAAATTGTTCCGGAAACTCTGGGAAGTAGGGGGTAAGCACCTCCGCCCAGTCCTACCTGGTCTCCTTGTAGCGTGTGCTGGTCAAGGGGTGTCTTCATGGCAATGTTGCTGTAGTAGGCGTAAGACAGCTCCCAGTCCAGGGGGTAGGAGTCAATGCCCTGGTAGTGTTTGTACCCCAGATTCATTGATGATAACCTCTCACTGCCTTGTCCCCCAACCAAACTGTACAGCATGCCCTGTGAGGAGGAAAATGACCAAGAGTTCACAGGATTATACACATGGGTCCCAAGAGCTTAATGCTACAAGGTGGTGGTGGTGGTTGTTATATGCCATCGCATTGCCCATGACTCATAGCGATCCTGTGTATCACAGCTCTGCACCCTGCGCTATTCTGAGCCATGCTCACTAATTCTGTTACACCTACCCACATTGCCCTAGTTATCATGTCAATGATATCATCTCATCTGGGGTTCTCCTGTGTTGTCCTGTACTCTTCCAAGCATGATGTCCTTCTCTAAGGACTGGTCTCTCCTAGTTGCGTGTCCAAAGTATGTGAGATGGGGCTTCAAAATCCTAGCCTCCAAGCAGAGACTTGGTTTCACCCTGTCCAAGACAGATCTATTTGTTCTCTTTTTGGTACTTAGTATGTGCAGTACTCTTCTCCAGCACCGCTGTGCAAAGGCATTGATTCTTCTTCTGTCATCCTTAGTCATCGTCAAGCCCTCTGATGCATAGAAAGAAAATGGTCTGGATCAGGTGCACCTTACTCTCTAGACTGACAACATTGTTCTTCAGCACCTTGGAGAGGTTCCTGACAGCAGATTTTCCCAGTGCAAACTGATTTTCCTGATTGCTAGTGCCAACAAAAGCAGGAGTGGCATCCACTTCCTAAACAAGACTTTCTATAACTATCATCATTTATCAAAGTTCATAGAGTTTCCAGAGGCATGTTCATAGTGTTGTTATGAGTTGTGCTCGAGTCTACAGCAATCAACAACAACAACAAGTGCCAAGAGTGTTAACTGGGGAGCTGAACAAGCTGAATCATCAACCTCATTCTCTTCTCCATCAATTGGTCAATTGGTGAGAGCCAATTGGTCAAACTGTCAATTGGTCCAGTGGTGAGAGCCTTTGTTTTCTTGATGCTGAGCTTCAATCCCTACAGAAGACTATAGTCCTTGACCTTCAGCAAGCACTTCAGGTCCTCCTCAGTTTTGGGGAGCAAGGTTACACTATCTGTATATCACATATTTCTGAGGCATTCTCCTACAATCCTGATGCCACACTCCTACAAGGTTAGGTCTCTTTATATCTACTGAAGAGATCCCATGGCTTAGTGATATGAAGCTGCATTGCCAACGCAAAGACAGGGCACTTGACTCGAGCAGCTGCTCTGCTGGAGAAAGGTGGACAATCTCCTCCCACAAGATTTACTGCCTCTAAATCAATCTCCATAATAGTCTATGTGTTTCCTACTGCCAAAGGGGCCCTTTAGAGTAGTGAGAGAAGATCTTCACCCTGAAACCCACAGCGTCCCTTTTCAGCAGGAAGTAGCTAAGAGAGTACGCCGTCCCCTTTTTCTTATGACTCAGGGTGAAGTCTCTCTCAGGGAGGAGTGATAGGGAATGGCAAAGGATACACTGACAAAGAAGATTAATCAGAACTGGCTTTGACAAGCACTGTGGCATTTGGACAAGAACAAACTGGGAGGAGGGTAGAGAGAATAGTGCAACAATGAATGAGTGGAAGCCCAAAATCTCTGTAAATGTTTATGAAAATTAATAAAATATAGAAAAAAATCATAATAAAAAAAATTTACTGCCTCTGAGAACCCGTTGAGGGGGTCAGCTATGAGTCAATCCTCACCCTATGGTGCATAACAACAATATACGCTTAGTCAACTCAGAAAATGGACTTGTCTTAAAAAAAATCATCAAACAGGAAACTGATCCACCTTTGAATGGCTTACAGATTCCCAAATTTTGATGCTTCCTAAGGAAATTCACTGCCATCGAGTTGTTTCCCACTCCAAGTGATACCCCTCCCTGCGGGTTTGTGTGGCTGTAAATCTTTACAGGAGGAGACTAGACTGCCCATCATGCTGTCCTGAAGCAGCTCGTGGATTCCAACTGCCGACTTTTCATTGAAAAGCCCCATACACTAAGCCCCACATACCACCGGGTCTGCTTCCTAAAGCCAAATAGAATCCTGTCTGATCTAGTGCTGAACATTATTCATTTATGTTAGCAGACACTCACAAAATACACAGGGGCTATACCAGGCAATATGAGAGAAATAGCTACACAGCTGCACTATTCGCAAGAATTGATTGTTCCGGAAAAATTGAGATTCTGATTTGGAAAAAAAAAAACCACACCAAAAAAACCCAACCAAAATTCAAGCCACTGACACCAAGTTGATTCTGGCTCACAGGGGCCCTGGAGGACAGAACAGCACTGCCCGGGGGTTTTACCAAAGCTGTAAAGCTGTACGGAAGCTGAGCTCTCATTTCCCTCCCTCCAAGCCACTGGTGGGTTTAAACAGCTAACCTTTTGGTTAGTAGCCATATTCTTTAACTACTATGGGTCCATGTGATTTGTCCAAACTACTCCTTAAAAAAATATATTTCAATATACAAGTATACTAATACATGCCAAAGAGGAAATTTTCCAAAGACTGTGTCCAGGAAGGGGTGTCAACACTCTTGGCACCAGCAGTCAGGATATCAAAAGACTAATTCTACTGGGAATATCTGCAGTCAGGGACCTCTCCAGAGTACTGAGAAGCAACAATGTCAGTCTAGAGACTAAGGTACACCTGATTTAGGCCATGGTCTTCACAATTACTTGCTATGCATCAGAGAGCTGGACAATGACTAAAGATGACAGAAGAAGAATTGATGTCTTTGAGTTATGGTGCCAGAGAAGAGTACTGCTCATACCATGGGCCACCAAGAGAACAAACAGGTCTGTCTTGGAAAGAGTTAAACCAAGTTTTTCCTTGGAAGCTAGGATTTTGAAGCTTAGTCTCACATACTTTGGGCACGTGGCCAGGAGGGACTGGTCCTTAGGGAAGGACAGCATGCTTGGAAGAATGGAATAACAATGCAGGAAAGAAAGACCCCGGGTGAATGGACTGGCACAGTAACTGGGTAAATGGGGGTTGGTGGTATTTGAGTCAATGTGACTGGCTCCAGTGTTGTGCATACGGTCGCTATGAGTCACACAGGTGACTTGATGACACATAATAACGACACCACGTTATACACGCCTAATAGACAATACACAAAATTCTGTAGCCAGGAGTGGGTGTTTTAGAGGTATATTTTCATTATGTATATTATGGGCACCAAATAGACAATATCCTAAAATCTGTGTCCAGGATGGATATATTCTGTACTATGAGTGTATGTTATAAGGAGGGACCGATCCTTGGAGAGGGACATCATGCTTGGGAGGGTGAAGAGACAGCGCAGGAGAGGAAGGCCCTCTATGAGGTGGATTGATTCAGTGACTGGGGTAATCGGGATGGGAGTGTCAAGACAGTGAGATTGGCACAGGACAGAGCAGAGTTTAGGGCTGTTGTACATACGGTCGCTATGAGTGGCAAGCAACTCGACGGCACATAACAACAACAACATGAGTGTACTGTGTGTATTATACAAATACACCAAAGTCTGTGTCCAAGAATGGGTGAAATGCCTTTCCACCCACAGAAAGCAGTGTATTCTCAAGCTGACACACCCCCCTGGCATTTGTCTCAGGTATAAAATGTCAGGAAGCACTGTGGCAGCTGTCACATGCCCACTTCTGCCAGGGGCAGAGAAGATCACCTTGCAAATACCTACCCGCTGGCCAAGGCACCCGGGGCCCGTGAAATCACTACCTGCAGCTGGTCCTGGGGTACATTTAATCCCGTCTCGTAAAGGACTGTGAGGTAGTAGGACGCTTTATGGTGTCCACAGCAGCTGGAGTCCGCCAGGAAGGGGACGACAGAGCTAATCTGGTGAAGCCCATCAACGCCGGAGAGTCTCTTTACAGCCTTCTCAAATATCCTCCCACCGACTTCTAACATGAATTCGCCTGCATTTCTTGGCACTGTAAATAACACAATTCAGAGCGCACAAAATTAATTACCAGGGGATCGACTCGGCATTGGAAAGAAGAGGAGGAGGAAAGCCAATTAAAGCACCTGAGTTATTGACAGGGCTGGGGCTGCCGAGCCAGGAGATATACCACCTTCCGGGGAGGTAAATTAAACCCTTTGGGGATGCCACAGTGTCTCTCCATAAATAGCTTTTTCTCTGCCACTAAATGACAGCCTTGTGTCCTGGGAAAACGGATGTGCCTGATATAGCAGGGAGAGCATCTCCAGAGAATAACTGATGCAGCAGAACTTACATCGAATCAGGACCACGGAAACTTTCTTTTTTTTTCTTTTTCTTCATTTCACTCTTGGACTCTCGGAAGAAGAAAGCGCTTTATCCCAGGAAGAGTTCCTGGGTGCTGCCCTCAGAAGCTGAGGAAGAGGACCTTGTTTTGAGGTGTTTTCTTGTCTTCTTTTCCTCCACTTACTCCTGTGGATATTTCTGTGCAACCAAAATGCTGAGCCAGCTTTTATTGAAGGTCTACTAGAACCAAGTGCTGTCAGATTGCCTCTGACTTAAAGTGACCTCATATATTCAGAGTCAAGCTGTGTCCCCGAGGCTTCAAAACATGCCAAGACCAGGCTACATGTCTCAGATGTTGTTGTTGGTGTTAGGTGCCAATGAGTCGAGTATGACTCATAGCAACCTGGTCAACAAGAAATCTCAAGCCTGTCCTGTCCTGCGCACCCTCACAATCTGACACACTCAAGCCCATTGCTGCAGTCTTATGTAGATTATGTTACTTCATGCATAACTTATGCCCAATAGAATTAAACCTCCTTTACGGATCCTGCACCATCCTCACAACGTCTGATGTGTGTAAGCCCATGGCTGCATCACTGTGTCAATCCATTTCAGGGAGGGTCTTCCTCTATTCTGTTGACCCTTTCCTTTTCCAAGCACCACGGCTTCAACTTGGACGAGGTCCTCCTGCCAACACACCCAACATATATCAAAGTCTCACATCATCCTTCCTTCTAAAGAACATTCTGGTTACACAGTTCCAAGACATAATTAGTTTGCTCTTTTGTCTGTGGCATATTTAATATCCTTCAAGACTACTATAATGCAAAAGCATCAATTCTTCTTTGATTTTCCTTATGTATTGTCTAACTTTTACATTCAGTTGGAACACATTATGGCTTGAGCCAAGGACACCTTAGTCCTCAAAGTGACATTCTTGCTCTTGAGTACTTTAACGAAGTCTGTGCCGGATCTCCTCATAGCAACATGTCATTTGGTTTCTTGACTGCTACTTTCATGAATGCTGAAAGCCCTTGACAACATCAATATCCTCCCATTTGTCATGATGTTGCTTATTGGCCCAGATGTGAGAATATTATTATTTCCTTTATGTTGAGTTATAATCCATATCAAAAACTCTAGATTTTTTTTTAAAAGGTAGAGCTTTTGATATGGATATATCTCAACATAAAGAAAAAATACTGTTATAAAACAGGGCTACCAAGGGGGTTGGGGAAAACCAAGAAAAGAGGGGATAAATAATGTACATGGCATTGAAGTAGAGGAGGGAGAGAACTGTATAAAAGGAATATATGATTAACTATTATTGGTATGACAAGAGTCCAGAATTAGAGCTGCATAAGAAAGTGGTCTGGGTGGGGGACTGTATAACAGCAAAAGAACCTTTTTTCCAAAGAAAAATATGAACTGGGTGGGGGTGGCATGGAGGAAAATGAGTAACAATGACTGAATGGAAATCCAAGTTCTTTATAAACTTACAATAAAATCTCAATTAAAAAAAAAAGCTATAGCTTTTCAGATTGCTCTGAAGGAAAAAACAAAAAAATAAAACCACGCCAAGCTTTTGCACTAAAGGAAAGAACAAAAAAAAAGAAAAACACCCAAGCTTTTGATCTTCAGCAAATGCTTCAAGTCCTCTTGATTTTGCAAGGTTGTGTCACTGAATATCCTAAATTGATGTGTCTTCCTCCACTCCTGATGCTACAATTCTTCACGTAGTCCAGCATCTCAGATTAATACTCAGCATACAAACAGAATACATCTTATGGAAGAATATAAGCCAGACTCTCACCCTCCCTGGTTCAAACCATGCAGCAATACCTCCTTCTGTTCGAGTAACGGCCTGAGGTAGAAACTATCATCATCATTATATTCTTTTCCGATAAGGAGACTGAGGCCGGGAAGTCAAGCAACTTGTCCAGGGTTACAAAAGCTGGTAAAAGGCTATGGCCAACCTTGAACTTTGTTTAGAGACTGAACTTGTGACACTTGTTCCCTAATGAGCTGGCAACCCAAACCAAAAGCACTCCACTGCTATGGAACTGGTTCTAACTCACAGTGATCCTCCCTCCAAGATTCCAAGTCTGTAAATTTTTACAGACAGAGGCTGCCCATCTTTCTCCCTGAGAGCAATGGGTGGTTTTGAACTTCCTACCATTCAGCTAGCAGCCAATAACTGTTATGCATGACACTAGTTCCCCTTCACTGGCAACTCGTTATCTCAGCAGTCAGGAAATGAATACACGAATTGCACTGGGAAAATCTGTGGTCAGGGAGTAGTGATTACTACAAAGTACTGAGAAGCAACGATGTTAGTCTAGAGACTAAGGTGTGCCTGACCCAGGCCATGGTCTTCACAATTATATGCTATGCCATGAAAGAGCTGGATAATGACTAAGAATGATAGAAGGACTGATACCTTTGAGTGTTGGTGCTGGACAAGAGTGTTACCATGGACTGTCAAGTAAACCAATAGATCTGTCTTGGAGAGGGTGAAAACAAGCTTCTCCTTGGAGGCTAGGATTTTGAAGCTCTGTCTCACATATTTCAGGCACATGGCCAGGAGGGACCAGTCCTTGGAGAAGGACATCATGCTCTGAAAGGTAGAGGGACAGTGCAGGAGAGGAAGGCCCAAGAAAGATGACTGATGCAGTAACTGGGACAATGAGGGTAGGTGTGTTGGAGTCAGTGAGACTGGCTCTGGACAGGGCAGGTTTCAGAGCTACTATATGTAGGGTCTCTATATGTTGCAGGTGACTAGAAGGCACATAACAACAACAATAACAAGTAACTTACTAGGGCCTCTGGTGGCCTAGTGGCAAGAAACTGCACTGCAATCCCAAAGGCACATGGTTCAAATTCACCGGCTGCTTTGCGGGAAAAGGGTGGGCAATCTACCTCCCTACAATTAACTGTCTCTGAAAACCCACTGGAGGGCCAGCTATGGGTTGGTTCCGACTCAACAGTACACAACAACAATTAGTACCTTACTACCATGGCTACGGGCTCTGGTGATATAGTTTACAGGAAGTTGCACTGCTAAACCTCAGGCTATGCCTCTCTGGCAGTTTGAATCTACTGGTAGCTTCAAGAGAGAAAGCAGGGGTGGCCTAGTAGCAAGAAGCTGCACTGCAATCCCAGAGGACTCTGTTCCAATCCACCAGATGCTCCGCTGGAGAAGGAGGGGCAGTCTTCTCCTGTACCAGTCACATCTGATGGTACACTCACAAAAAATAATAAAATAAATTTTTTTAAAATTCTAAAAAAAGGAAAGCGAGAGAAAGCAGGGCAGTCATCTCCATTGTGATTTACAGCCTATAAAACCAGCTGGAGGGCAGATATATGCACACCCATGTTTATTGCAGCTTTGTTCACAATAGCAAGGAGTTGGAAACAACCTAAGTGCCCATCAACAAACGAATGGCTAGAGAAGCTGTGGTATATTCGCACAATGGAATACTATGCTGCATTAAAAAACAAGGAACTCATGCAATATTATTCAAAATGGTTGACTCTGGAGAACATTATGCTGAGTGAAATATCCCAGTCACAAAAGGACAAATATTACATGATGCCACTGTTGTAGAATGGGACTGTCCTTGGGGTTGGGGAGAGACTAAGATGGGTTCAATAATGTATACTGCACTGAAACAGAGGAGGAAGAAAACTGTTTAAAAGAGATATATAACTAGGTATTTCTGTCATCACAGGAGACTAGAGCGAGGGCTACATGGTGGAGGGGACCTGGGGGAGGGTTTGTAAAACAATGAAAGAATCTTTTCTTTTACTTTTCCATAATTTTTGACTCATGTACTTATAACTTGTTAGTCAAATTTGTGTCTTCTAGGTTGCAACACCCCCATGATACATCTTCAAGGATATGAACATGTACGGCCAAGCACAATCAATAAGAGTGCATCTAAATTCCAAAATCAATCTCCATAATAGTCTATGTGTTTCCTACTGCCAAAGGGGCCCTTTAGAGTAGTGAGAGAAGATCTTCACCCTGAAACCCTCAGCGTCCCTTTTCAGCAGGAAGTAGCTAAGAGAGTACGCCATCCCCTTTTTCTTATGACTCAGGGTGAAGTCTCTCTCAGGGAGGAGTGATAGGGAATGGCAAAGGACACACTGACAAAGAAGATTAATCAGAACTGGCTTTGACAAGCACTGTGGCATTTGGACAAGAACAAACTGGGAGGAGGGTAGAGAGAATAGTGCAACAATGAATGAATGGAAACCCAAAATCTCTGTAAATGTTTATGAAAATTAATAAATATAATTATAGAAAAAAAAACACGAAAGAAAAAAAAAACCAGCTGGAGGATCAGTTACGAGTCAGTTCCAATTTCACGAGAGAGAGACAGAGACAGAGACAGAGAGAGAGACTATGGCAATATATAAATGTGGAACCATTTATTCAATTGTCTCAAGCTATATGATTCTTTTTGCATCCTTCTCCCACTAATCCTTTTTTAAAAATTTTTATTTTATATTAGTTTATTTACAAAGTTTGTATACATTGCTTTTCACACCAGATCTTTTCCATTTCCTTTAACCTTCCCTTCCACCCATCAAATTGTACGACCCTCTGATGAACGCTCCCTCCCACCTTGCCCATCCTCAGCCCTCTGCTCCCACCCTCCCCCACCCTGGATCCTCATACTCGTTTTTACAAACCACTAATCT